CCCAAGCCCGGCGCCACCACAGCCCTGCCCGTCCTCAGCGTCGCCGAGGAAGCCGCCGCCAAGGCGAAGCAGATACGCCTCCAGAGCCTGCGCGATAAGGTCTACGGCAAGGGCAACAGCGGCCCCCCCGCCGCCGACGACTCCAAGTCCAAGGAGGGCGAGGGCGCGGGCAAAGCGGGAGGAACCGAGAAGGAGGCGGCGGCGGCCGAGCCCAAGAAGCCAGCCGCCATCTCGTTGGCATCGGCGGCTCCGAAACCGGCAGTCAAGGCGGCGGACGGCGCGGGGCTCCAGTCGCCCACGACGGGCGCGTGGAAGGGCGGCAGCCCCGCGGCGGCAGGGGGCGGCCCCGCGTCCTCGCAGGACCTGCTCCGCACCCTCCAGAGCCCGACCAGCACCGCCTGGAAGCCCACCGACGTCGACCCGCCCGTGACGTCGCACCGGGGCTCGCTGGTGAGCCCCGCATCGCCCGAGGAGATCGAGGCGGTCGAGAAGGAGCTCGCCATCAAGGAGGAGCCCGAAGAGGAGGAAGAGGAGGAGGAGGATGACGATGATGATGATGATGACGATGAGGAGGATTCTGGTGAAGATTCGGATGACGATGACGATGAGGACGAGAAAGAAGAGGAGCCCAAGAAGGCGGTAGCGGCCGCCGCCCCTGCCAAGAGCGCGGAGCCAGCAAAGGATACAAAGACACCAGAGAGCAAAGATACCAAGGCGTGAGCAAGGGAGGGGAGCCAGAGCCTGTAATTCGCCCATTTTGTTTTGGTTTTTTAACACGACTTGATCGGACATTTTTGATGTTGCGCCCTTTTTGATAGTGTTCGATGGATGATATCCACAGTCGCGGCTTATAACAACCATGCTATCTGCGATAGGCCCCCTTCTTTGCCCAATAGGAAAAAAACGAGGTGACATCTGACGCTCAGCCCCGTCGTCCCGTAGACTTGCGATTATCTCGTCACATCGAAAACCATGCTCCAGAATTACCCAGCAGCGCAAGATGCGCGCGCCCACACCGATCTTTCAGCGTTGCATATTTCAGTCATATAGCCCCTCGTCGTTGCCGCCCGAGCCGCCCAGGTGATCCGCCGTTGCCGCCACGGCCTTGCCCTTCCCGCGCGCCCTGATGCTCCCGTTGGCGCTCCCCGGGCGGCCGCTGACCGTCTCGCCGTCGTCATCGTCGTCGTCGCTGCTCGACGGCGCCACGGCCTTGCCTTTGCCCTTGCCCAAGATGGGCGCGGCCGCCATCAGGGCCTTGCCCTTGCCCCTGACGCTCGAGCTCGACGAGACGGACCGCATGGGCCCGCGGGGCATCAGGCCGGCGTCTTGGTGGTGGTGGTTTTGCTGCTGGCCTTGCTGCTGGCCTTGCTGCGGCTGCTGCTGCTGCTTGTCCCGCCCGCCCTCAAAGGTGGCGCGCACGCCCTCGTAGTGTGCCAGCTCGCCGGCGCTTACGCTGGGGATCAGCTCTTGGTGTGCCTCCATGAAGTCGTGCTCCGTGACCATGACGGCCACGTCCTCGGGCTCGGCGTAGTGGTCGAAGAAGTAGGCCGTCGAGATGGGCGGCCTCCCGCCCGCTGTCGCTTCTCGCTCCGAGTTGAGCACCTTTATCTTTGCGTCCACCCGCGACGCCTGCCGCGTGACCGCCTTGAGCATGGCGTCGCTGCACAGCGCGTAGAAGTCGGCGCCCGTGTACGTGAAGGGCAGCTTCTCCGACACGGCCTTGAGAGAGACTGAGGGATGCAGCGTAAACCTGTGTGGTTCGTATCTTGGTCGTTAGCTTGGGCACCGAAGTAGTGGTATTTGGTTAGGGGAAAATAGGCGTAGGCGACTGACTTCCTCGTGAGCGCCTCCATGATCCGGAGCTGCTTCTCATGCGTGTCCGAGACGCCCAGGTACAGCAGCTTGTCGAAACGGCCCGGGCGGAGAAGCGCCTGGTCTAGTAGATCAGGCCTGTTGGTGGCACCAATGACGAAAACGCCGCCGCCCGAGGTGCCGTCGTCGTCGTCGTCGTCTCCGCCGCCGCCGCCGCCAGACGACATGCCGTCCAGCTCGGCCAGCAGCTGCGACACGATGCGGTCCATGACGCCTCCGCTGTCGCCCTGGTTTCCACGCTTGGGCGCGACCGAGTCGAGCTCGTCAAAGAAGACGACGCAGGGCCTGGCGTCGCGCGCCCTCTGGAAGACACGCCGCACGTTCGCCTCGGACTCTCCAATATACATGTTGAGCAGTTCCGGGCCCTTGACGCTGAAGAAGTTGAGGCTGTACTCGGTCGCAATGGCCTTTGCGAGGAGCGTCTTTCCCGTTCCGGGCGGACCGTAGAACAGGATGCCAGACCGCTTCTTCATGCCCTTGGCGAAGAGCTCGGGTCGCTCGAGCGGCAGCTGGATCGTCTCCTTGACGGCATCCTTGACGTGGCTCAGCCCTCCGACGTCGTCCCACGTCACATTCGGGATCTTGGGCGCCCCGATAGCGTCGGCAAAGTTCTTGCGCGCCGCGTCGACCGCTGTGTCCAGGTCGCCCTTGGTGAGCCCGCGCACCGCCGATCCGCCAGCCACGAGCACATCTCTGACCGTGACGGCTGGAAGTCCGCTCTCGCCTCCGGCACTAGCCCTCTCGGCCAGCCCTTGGAGCCGCGCTCGCCGAGCAACCAGGGCGCGGTCGATGACGTCCACGAGGTCTCCGGCCACCAAGGCCGCCGTCTTGAGGGCGACGGCGCCGAGGTCCACACCGGCGTCGAGGGCAAGGCCGCGCTGGTCAACGATGGAGCGCAGGATGCCCTCGCGCTCGCCCTCATCGGGCGCCGACATGTCGAGCTCGTGCGTAAACAGGCCTCGCACTCCGTCGGGGATCTTGTCAGGCTCCGTCGTGGTCGCAATGAGGACTCTCGCGTCCGACAGGATGCCGCGCATTGTCGCTGTCATGCGCTCCGCCGTGAGCGCCTCGACGTGCCGGACGAGGAGCGCGCAGCACTCTGGCCCGCAGCTTAGTGCGCGCTCTGCCCGCGCCTTGAGCGTCCCGTCCGTCTTGACGTCGCTGCCACCCGCCCCCCCCTCGCTCAGTATATCAAATGCGTCCACCGTGAAGGTGTGGAGACCAATGTCACGGCACGCGTCCGTGGCCAGCCTCGCCTTCCCAATGTTTCGCTGCGTAGAGACCAGCAGGATCGCGACGGGCGGGGCCTTGAGATGTATGGCCCTTTTACTCGTCGCAGCGGCCAGCAGCTCTCTGACACGACGCCGCAGCGGCGAGATGTAGCTTGGCCTTGGCTCCGAGATGGCCACAGGGGGCGACCCTATCACGCCGCTGGGAGGGTTTAGGATGCCTAGATAGTATTGCCAAGTGCTCGCCTTCACACCAGGAACGCGGCCATTGACCATGCCCGACGATTCTAGGTGGGCCATTGAGGTCTCGACGCAGGCAGCAGACCCCCATAGTGCCTCCTCCTGCTCGGCCTCGATACCCTCCTGCTTTTGTGCTTGCAGGTGCGAGACTCGGAACCAAGCCACCTCGTCCAGGTTCAAGCCCCGTCCGTCAGGCGTCCTTGAGTTGGCGGAGCCAGCCGCGATGGAGAGTATGTCATCTATCGCGGAGCCCTCGCCCGAAGATGCCTCCTTCATTGTGCGCCCAAGCTGCGTGTCGATGGGCACGGCGATAAGGTCACCAGCCTTGATGACACGGAGCTTCTTCTCGAAATACAACTTCAACCCGGCCATGACGGCCATCTCCAAGTCCCTAGATGAGGACACGGGAGTGCGCACCTGCTGGATGACGACGTCGCGGGCATAAGGTGGCTGCATGACGGCCGCGGCCTGCGAGTGCGGCCCACCCCCGTGGTGATGCGCAATAGCCCTCTTAAGGGGCAGCAGGCGCAGGTGCGACGGGCCGTCCAGATTGGCGAGAAGTATGGGCGACGCATACGCTAGAGGGCTGGTCGGCTTTTGGACCTGCGACTCGAAGAAGGAAAGGCTGCGGCCGCCGTGCTTGGAGCTCGGGATCCGGCTGACGGGCCGTCTCGAGTATCCTTCGGGCAGGCCAAACACCCTGGCAGGCCTCCAAGCAGGCTCCTGCGCATCTGGCTCCCCAAAGCTCCCCAGCGCGAATGGACCGAAGCCGTTGGCAGGAGGCGCCGACGAGGCTTCGACCCGGACCCAGTCTCCGGAAAAGCAGCCGATCCTCGACAGGTTGCCCACGTCAACGTACACATGGGCCTCCTCGTCGTCCTCGGGTGTCGGCTTCGGGTGCAGCAGCTCGGCCGGTATGGGCTTCACAAGCCCCTGGGCCTTGAACAGACGGCCTCGGGGGCGGTCTGGACGCGCCGTCGTTGCGGTAAAGGACGAGAAGACGGAGCCAGGGGTGGTCATACCATTGGTTTTCCTCCCGCGGCCCACCGTCATTGGCGTGCCTGGCTGCATGGTTGACAAGCCGCTCGCGGTGGGCGGCGGCAGTGTAGGGGTCTGCAGCGATATCATATCGTCGGCCGAATCGTCCGACAGCTCGTCATGGTCGCCCTCGGACAGCTCCGTCTCTGACGCGCTGGTGGTGGCAGAGCTCTCCACGGCCGAATCGGTGACCTCGATCTTGTCGCGCTCCTCGGCAGCCGAGTAGAACTGGTCGTTTGCCGTGTCCTCGTCGGCCTCGGTCACACCGTCGAGCATCCCGCCGGGGCGCGCTGAGCCCCTTTCTCTATTCCCCTTGGGGCGCGAGCGACTAGGCGAGACAATGATTTTGGTCTTGGGAGAGAGGATACCCTGCGCAACGGGCTCACAGAGCGTCACCCTGCCGGGATTCGGCGGGACGTGGGTTATCGGGTGTGGGGGTAGCGGCAGCGGGAACAGATCGCCGGAATGCACAACGCGGAGGGTGCCCAGGGCAGCGCGCAGAGCGGTAGCTAGGCGCAGCTCGGAAGATGCAGCCGGCGAGGCATTTCCCTTGGCAAGCGTCGAGACCTCGGGGTGGTCCCTGAAGAAGGTCCCCTCGCCGTTCCCGAGGCGCTTGGCCAGGTCGCCATCAAGGCTGACAAAGACGGTGTCGAGCGAGAGAGCGACGGCGTCAACGACCAAGATGTCGATGCCGCTTCGGCTATGGCTGGATAGCTTGGATGGTGCGACACGCTCGAGGGTGGTCGCGAAGTTCTGCAGTACGAGGCTCGAGTCGGAGGGAGAGAACTGGACGGTGGAGTGCGACAGGGCTGTGGACTTTGTGACGGGCACGATGGTCCAGTCGGTGGTTTCGGGGGAGGCATCGGGCATCCAGGGGGAAATGGCCACGTAGTGAACCTCGCCGAGATCATGCGGCTCTGGGGGCGGCCGGGACAGGCGTGTCAGCTACGGGGCGGGGGGACTGCTTGCTTGCTGGCTTCGCAGACAGGCGGACGGCGACGAGAAAGACCAGATAGCTTACGGTTGCGCAGGTGGGGGAAGAGGTCGGCGAACAGGTCCTCGGACAGGATGCCGACATCGCTGCGGAGATGGTCGTCGAGGGCGAGGCGGGCCGAGATGGGCAGTTTGTCCTCGCGCCTTCTCCGGCGCCGTTTCCGGGAGGCGAGCGCAGGGGCCGCGTCCATGGCGGACCAAGGAGGGCGACGGACGCACTCGAGCGGGCGGGCGGGCGAGCGGGCGACTCTATGGGTTGTGCGACGTCGACGGGCAGGGTGGGATAGAAGCAGTTGCAATTCGGACAGGTCCAGCACAGGTCGCCGCTAGTCTGGTATCAAGATCATCTCAAATTCAGTGGAGTTCACAGCTCCAGCGGATTGGGTCGGGCCTCGGTCCAGCCCAGCGCGGCGCCGGCCCCTCCTGCCTGCAGCGCGTCTCGGCTGGCAAATGGCAGGCAGGACTGTAGCCAAGGGGGTACACGGTCACGTGAACCCCATCTTGACAAATACACGGTAGACATGAGGTGGCTACCTCTGGTATATCTGCACTAGAATAAAATCTACTGTTGCGGAATGTTTTCCCCGAGCCGTATTAATGGACCTAGTAACCTCAGGTTGTTTATTGGTTTCGGCAAACGACAGTCCTAGCCTCGATGTGGATGACGACTGCTGCAGTCCCAATCGGGGGCTTCCGCCCTGAGTTTCACATGTCTGTGCCAATACACAGTAGTCCAAGGTGCATTTTTTGTTCCGCAAAATGACGCAATGCTCCCCTGGCTGAACTTGCTTCATTCTAGATACGCAGCATCTCACTCGAACTGACCTGCAACATTCGTAGTTTAGGTCTTTGGCTTTCTTAGTCTGCTGAGCGTTCACTGCAGGGTTGGTCGGTCGGGGCTTTTTTATTTTTTATTATCAGACGGCGTCTGTCCAGAAGGAAGTCCAATGCGGAGAACAGGCGTCGCTCGGTACCGCTACCTGTGATTACTTGCAGAATGGCTGCCCAAGTCCAGGTGGAATTCGTACCCCGGGTACTGGGAATCAGGTACCTCGTTGAGCGCGACTTCTCTCCATGACGTCTCCTCGATTCTAGACGCCCATACTTGATTCGCGCGCAGTTGATTATGGACATGCATCGCCCACATCCTGATCTTGACCCAGAACACGCAGCGACCGCCTTTTGTCTTGTTGGTGTAGAGGCTTGTATTTATTGCTGCATGCAACAGCAGACCAGTCGGTTTCATGCCTTGAGAAACCGCTGTGGCCACTGGAATTCCCACGCGGCCTCCCTGTCCTCTCCAAGATCACGCTGGGCGACCTACATAAACTCTTGTCAGATCCTTCCTGATCCGTAAACATAAAGGGCGTTGGTAACCACAGCATTGGTAATCACACATCGCCCTTTCGAATTGGAGGCCGGGCGGGGAGTAGCTGGGTTGGCTTGCGCGACATGGCCATCGAGGCTGGATCCCAGAGCAGCCCCCCTGACGATGCTGGGGACAAAACACCAGAGACGGAGAGGCTGCCTTCGGGAGACGGCGATTTCTCACACAAGACCGGCTCCCTCGTCCGAGACTCGGCCGCCAAGTTCGCCAAGCAGTCCGAGAAGCTCTCGCATCTGACGCATACCGACAGCGGCGACAGCGGCGCCAGTGCCGCCGTCGAGGCCCGTTTCGTCACGCCGCACGATCCCGTCGTCGTCACGGCCGATGGGAACCGCCTGCCCGCCGTGCCTCTCCTCGAGGCCCACAAGCTCAACGTCCTCAAGGAGGCGCTCGAGGAGACGCAGCACGCCCGGGACGACGACGGCTCCTCCCCCGAGCTCGCGAGCGGCGCCTCGGTAGAAGCGGCCGGTGGCGAGCAGCAGCCGGGCCAGAGCTCGGCGAAGCTCGACAAGGCGCTCCGGGACGTCAATGGCAATGCTATACAGAAGTCGGGCGAGGGCTCGCTGCGCCGGTCGATGCCCCCGTCGCACACGAACCCGCTGTTCCCCCCGCTACCCCTGTACGGGCCCCCGTCTTTTTGGCGCAACGTCCAGTGCACCACCTTCCGCGTCACGTCCTTCTTCCTCAGCCTCGCCTTCCTCGGCGTCATCGTCCTGGGCGCCCTGTTCACTAGCATCCCGCCGGTATGCGGTCGCATCGTCAAGAGGCTCATGCTGCGCGATCCGGACGCGAAGCGGGTCTTTTACGAGGAGGAAAAAAGGCGCGCGGTGGCACGCCGGGAAGAGATGCGCAACTGGAGGCGACGCCGCGGGGCTCGCGACACGTCGGGCGAGAAGGAAAACGTCGGCGTCGGATACGTGCCCACCGAGGGCGGTCCCGACCCCATCAAGTGCGACGTGGCGTACTACGCGCGTCGTGTCGGACTTGACATTGAGGAGTTTCAGGTCCAGACGGAGGACGGGTTCATCATCGACCTCTGGCATGTGTACGACCCGAGGGAGTACGAGGAGCTCCCGCCCGCCGAGCGCGAGCAGCGCGGGCCAGAGGTGTTCGCCAACAGCAAGAAGAGACTAAGGAATCCAGACAGGCCCCGCAAGTTTCCCGTGTTGCTTATGCACGGCCTGTTGCAGAGCTCGGGCGCGTACTGCTCCAACGACGACGACTCGCTGGCATTTGTTGGTCTCTCCGCTGGCATTTGCCCTACCTTGTCCTTCACTTGCTGGACAGCAATGCTAATCGGTCTCTCAGTATCTGTGCAAATCGGGATATGATGTATGGCTGGGCAATAACCGCTGCGGCTTCAGCCCAAAACATGGCCTTTTAACTTACCAAGACCCGAGGATGTGGGCTTGGAATATCCGACAGATGGGTGTGAGTAAGGCCAGTTGCTATTACAGCCGTGTTACTGGTAGGATTAAACTAACCTGCGTTCTGACGACGACTTATGCCAGGTCTTCGATCTCCCCGCCTTGACTTCGCGGGTGCTGTATGAGACAGGATTCGAAAAGATAGGCCTCGTCTGCCACTCGCAGGGCACAACCCAGACGTTCGTCGCGCTCGCCAAGGAGCAGCGGCCGGACCTGGGTGAGAAGCTGACGGTGTTTTGCGCCCTGGCCCCCGCGGCCTATGCGGGCCCGCTCATCGGCAAGATGTACTTCAAGTTCATGAGGGTCATCACGCCCTCCATGTTCCGCCTCATGTTCGGGATCCACGCCTTCATCCCCCTCATGATGCGGATGCACGGGCTGCTGCCGCCCCGCCTCTACGGCCACCTCGGCTACCTCGTCTTCTCGTTCCTGTTCAACTGGACCGACGAGCGCTGGGACCGGGGCCTGCGCGACCGCATGTTCCAGTTCGCGCCCGTCTATGTCTCGGCCGAGTCCATGAGGTGGTGGCTGGGCCGCGAGTGCTTCGCTCGCCACAAGTGCATCCTGGCCACCAAGGAGGAGTGGCGGGCCGAGGAGAAGGAGGACGCGGCGGCCGAGAGGGAGGGCAAGGGGGCCCGGCCGAGGAGGCGGGCCGAAACTCTCAGCCGGAGCACGGCCGGAGCCCCATGCAGCAGTGGCCGCGCAACCTCGTTCTCGACCCCGAGGGCGTGGCCGACCGAAGCCCGAGCCCGAGTCCCGGCCCCAGCGGCGCCGGCGCCGGCGCCGGTGCTAGCCCGCCTGAGCAGCAGCCCAAGGAAGGCCCCGCCGCCGCCGCCGGCCGCCAGTCGCCGCCGCAGAGCAGCCGGCGCGGAGACGGCAGGAAGGCGCGCGGGTCGACGGCGTGGTACAACTCGCAGGCGCCCCCCTTCGCCTTGTGGGTGTGCGGGCGCGACGACCTGGTGGACGGCGCCCGGCTGCTGCGCCGGTTCGAGCGCGGCCGGGAGCCGCACGTCGACGTGGTGCACGCAAAGGTCGTGGCCGAGTACGAGCACCTCGACGTCATCTGGGCCATGGACGCGCCCGCCCAGGTCTTCTCGGAGCTCCGCGAGGTCCTGTGGAAGACGTGCGACGCCCGCGACCGCTGCCGCGTCCCGACGGGCTGCGAGGACGTCGCGCCCTGGTCGCCGCCCCCGCGCCGCACCGGCGGGGACGAGAACGGGGACGAGAGCGGGGACGGCGATGAGGAGGGGGCGCACGGCGAGCGTGCAAGCTCCTCTGGTAGCAGCAGCGAGGACGTGTCTGCATAGGTTGTGTCTTGAGTGCTTCAAGTGTCTGGGAACACACAATTGTTTCGTCGTGTCCCTTTCCCATTTTCTTTTTTTTTTGGCCGGGCCAAGGGTATCATGTGGTTATACGGGCTCGAGTTCCCCAAGGCCCCCCAGGGTTAGACGACGGACGCACACTAAGGACAGGTATTGTTTTTGTTTTTTTGGGGTTGCATCTTGGGTACTAGACGAGGAGAGGACCGTGTTTGTGTTTGCACTGGTTTGCACAGGCTTATGTTTGGTAAGACGCTGTTGCTTGCGCTGCTTCGGTTTGTCGTGTCCTCGGTGTTGCCGAATCGTTTGCTGTGCTACGGCGCACCACAACCGTAAGGTGTACCGAGGCATACGGTACGAATACATGCGTGCATTTTCCCGTAGCCAAACTTTCCATGTATCCGTGGAAAGTTTCGCCCATGAGAACGCGGTCTGTAGAATCCCCTGCATCAGCTGCACTGCACGTATTGAAATGCCCCACGAGAGGTAAGCGACACAGGCTCCCAGGGCCTGGCCTGCCTCCAGGGAACATCTCCCCACATCTTCATCGATGCCAGCTCGTCAACGGATGCCGCGGGAAACTCAGTCATGGAACTCGCGGACGGCAGGGAAACGCTGAAGGATCGAGTCAATGGCGGAGAAATCCCCGTAGACTCGTGATTGCAGTGCTATGTGAGGAGTTACACCTCGACTATGATCATTACATGGAATAATCCCCAGCCCCTGTCTGCGAGCAAAGCAGCAGCATGGTCTGTACGTAATCTATGCGAATCCCCTACGGAATGAGTTTGATCCGTCTAATCTTTGAGCGACGATCATTCAGTACCAAGAACTCCCAATACGCCCGAAATCAGACCTGGTGCCATGACCTCTTAGTTAAAGAAGGCATAAGCAACGGCGCCCACCATAACCAGGGCCAGCGAGGACTGGACCTTGCCGGCGCCGTTGGAGTTGGGGATCGTGGGAGCAGGGGAGGTGGAGGACGTGGTAGAAGAGGCTAGAAACGAGGTCATGTTAGTTCGGTCGACATTCAGCACGTACTTTAGCTGAGGAAGATACATACACCTGGTAGACGAGGAGCCGGACGAGGTCGTGGCAGTGGAGTTGACGCTGGTCGAGGAGGAGGTGACCATGGTGGTGGCGCTCGAGGAGGTCATAGAGCTGGTAGTGGAGCGAGAGCTGGTGGAGGACATGGTGCTGCTGACGCCGCTGGTGGTGCTGGAGGAGCCGGTGCCGACCAGGGAGAAGGGCAGGCTGTAGTTGATGTCCTCCTTTCCCTCGCCGTCGCGGACGCTGAAGGCGTAATCGCCGCTCGGCACATTCTTGGGGACGTCGAAAACGAACGAAGTTCCAGTGAGGCCGGCTTGAGGCATGTTAGTCGGTCTCTTCTATAACACAGTACCGAATACGACGTTCTACTTACTGGCCACGATCTGGACGGGCTTCAGGCCGTCGGGCGCCTTGCCCGTCAGGAGGTCGATGGTGACAGGGCCCTTGGCATCGGCCCACTTCAGCTCGAAGGTCCTGCCGGTGACAACATCAAAGTTGCTGTTGGTGAACCTGGGCTTGGCCGCGGCAAGGGTAGCCAGGGCGGCAACGATGATAGAAGTGAACATCATCTTGGCGACGGTGTGGTGATACGGTGCTGAGCGAAGGTTGAGAAGCGCAAAGAAGCTGTGTCGACTGTTAGCGTTGAGTGTCGATATCAAGAGTGGCAGTGATTATATGAAGGCGGAAATAGAAGCAGCCAGGTCCATCGAAGCGGGAAGTCAAAGTGCAGAACAAGGCTGCGAGTAGGCGGGTAGGGCAGAGACGGAAGGTGCGAACGAGGTCAAATGGGTGGGGTGCGGGCAGCAGGGTCGGGCAGAATGCATAAAGAAACCCCAAGCCAAAAGCGCGTGTGATGCATGACGCCCACTCGGGTCGCGGCGACGGTGACGACGGGAACCAGTGTCAAGAAGGGCGGGATGGACGGGGGAATGCAGTGAAACGCGGCAGTTACTCGACTCGTCCGTCCTATCTAGACGGGTGTTGGGTGCGAGGGACTCCTTGGAATGGGCCGAAGACGCGATGGGGAGACGTCACTTACCGTTCAGGATTACAATATTACAATAAAGTAATATGGGCAGCTCGAAGCAGTCAACTAGTCCCTGAAAGAGTGAAAGGAGTTGGAAGGCCGTGAAGAGGAAGCGACAGTTCTCTGGGGAAGGCGCGGCGGGCGACGGCTTTTATTGTTGTGGTTTTTGCAGCCGGCGCCACTTTTAAAATGACACCCCCCAGGACCTTCGACCGCAAAAAGTTTGTTATCCATCCATCAAGTCGAGAGCGCCCATGTTTGGCCCGGCGCCTGTGCCTCGGGGCTCGGGGACAAGCACACTCTCGCGTACGGCCTGGAGAGGCACGCCAAGCTTGGGGCGCTCCTTTCTCGCTGCGGCCCACCCTCCATCATCTCAATCTCAGTCCCAACCTTGCCAACGCCAGGAAGGTATCCACAATAATAACGCGGAGGGCGGGCAGGGGGCCCAGCCAAGGCCCGCTCTCCACAGCGTCATCTGCTTTCCCTAATCGGACTAGCCGCTGGCCCATCGACTGGTGCCGCGCTGGAGCCTTGCAGAGAGTGGCTCCGGCTGGAAATTGGGTAATGATGCCGATGCCGTGCCCCCTCCCTCTCAACATGTCGCCACGCCCCGATTCAGCGAGAACCACGGGTAAAAGGGTATGAGCCCCAAAAGGACATTCCAATGCGACGGCAGGAAGCACGGCGCGCTCGTGTTGGCCTTTCTGTCGACGCGGAGCTTGTTGTCTGTCAAGCTGTGATGCAACAGTCACTGCCGGCCGCATCCCTGCAGGGGGTGTGGGCTCGATGGCTCGATGGGCCACGCATTTCTACCGACGGGAGCGAGCATTGCGAGCGTCTGGTCGCTGCTCACCTCCCGTGCCTCAGTGCTGGCTGGACCTTGAGATCTGCCCGCCCCCGTCCCCAGCCCAGCCTAGCACTCAGCTAGGACCGACGCGTGGCTTGCGAGAGAGAGAGGCTCCATATCTGCGGAAGCCCGCACGCCGTTGGCGGCATAGAGCTGATGCCCCACCCACCAACCAGCGGGAAATGCTTGAATTTGTTCTGGACGAAGCACAGGCGAGAGACCATTGATGGGCTGCATATTGATGGACTGCATGGCTGTGCGACGGGGGCGGTTGCAGATGCATCTAGCCATCCACGACCGCAGTCAAGTCATGGAATTCCCCGAGCGGTCGCATACCTCAAGCTTGAGCCCCGCGAGAAGAAACAAAGGCGCTCCCTGCATCTAGCACTGGCACTAGCGGCGGAAACACTCTAACGTGACACTAAACAAATATTGATCCCAGGTCGGCCGCTCCCCCATTGGACGGGCGTCTCTACCGCACCTAGAAGGCTGGGTCCAGGCGCTGTCTGGCTGGCTGGCCGGCCACTGCCACCCAATATTTTGTGTGAATTACTGCAGTTGCCAGGCAGAATCGCGGGCCTAGTAGCCGCCGCCGTCAGCCATCACCCCCTCTCTCCAACCCGACACGAGGAAAAGGTTCTGTGCAGCCATCCAATACATAGCATGACAACGTACACAGTACGTCTCTTGTCAGCCGTCTCAATCGCTCGGTGCTGCATTGCCACTCGGAAGTCTCGCTCCAAGTGTCAGTCAAAGAATGCGAGCATCCATTCTTGGCAGTGTTATGACGCACATCCAATAAAGACATGCCTTGTTTTATTTCCACTATTCCCGTTTCTTCTCCTCCATGCGCGCGGAGCTTTCTCGAAAGGGTGTGTGTGCCCCGTTCCTGCTTACTGCATGCGTCTCGCCATGTTACGCAACATTTCTCCATGTCAGAGCACCAGTGAGCATTCACCGACGACCGGCCGCCAAGAGGGGAAGTACCATGCGTCCTTGGTGCCGAGAAGGTGGCTTGATGAGCACTTTTTATCGAGATATTGCAGATAAAGTCACTTGCGTGTTCCCATGTCCCTATGTGGCCTTTTTATTGCCACTGCCCCGTTAGATGGAAACAGGTTGTTGATCGAGGTCGGTACCGAAAAGTCTAGACTAGCTACTTCGCCCCAGCCTATTCTCGGCGGGATGGTCGTGTGACGCTTCAGGGCAGTGAGCACTGGACGACCCCGCGGCGCACGCCCTCGGTCTCCTCGGCCAGCCAGCGCACGTCGACGCCCTCCCCCGCGACCCTGTCGACGAAGTCGTCCAGTGACCCGCCGACCCCAAAGTACAGCCTCTTGGCCGCCACGATGCTCGTCGCGCTGCCGCCGCCGCCCGACCGCTCCCTCCGGAGCACCGCGAGCAGCGTGTCGGCGAAGGCGCCCAGCGCAAAGGGCGAGTAGATGGTCTCGGCTCCCACCACTAGGGTGCTGCTGCTATTGCCGCCTTGCTGCTGCTGCTGCTGCAAAGGCGCGCCCAGCCCATCGTAGAGGAGCTCCACGAAGGCCGGCGACCAGCCGCCCGAGACGAAGGAGAGCGAGATGTTTGAAGTTTCGAGGAATGACAAAAAGGCGGCCTTGACCTCGTCGTCCAGCTCGAGCTCTCCGCCGCCGTCCAGGTTCTCCTCGGACGACAGCGCCTCCTGGAGAAGCTCGCTCTCGCCCCGACGCAGCAGCGCCCACGCGAGGATGAAGTTGGGCAGCGTCACGAGTTGGAGGACCGACGGGTTGTAGTCGGCGAGCGTCAGCGACAGCGGGGACCTCGCCGCCTCCTCCAGGGCGGCCGCCCACTGGAAGACGGCAAGCGACGGCAGTGCTGTTCCGCATCCGAGCTGTTGGAGGCAAAGGCCGCGTCAGTAGCTACCCTTTTTTTCTCTCCCGCCCTAGACTTCATGATACCCCATAGCCAAGAATCTGTCCGTGCACGCTACGCGGGGGGCATTGGGGCTGAGGGGGTGGCAAAGGAGCGCGTGGCGTTTTCTTTCTTCGCATACCTCGATCATCCTAACAGGCCCCTTGGCCAGCGCCAGGGCGGGCGACATGTCGTGACGGGCCAGGACCTTGACCAAATCGACGCTGCTCTCCCAGCTCTTGAAGCCGCCCTCGTAGATGCCGGTGCGGACGTCATGCTGCCCGAGCCCGGCCTCGTCGTGCCCGCCGCCGCCGCCGCCGGTGAGGCCCTCGTCCTCGGCCGCCAGCTGCACGCGCACGTCCCACAGCTCGCGCCGCGGCAGCCGCGTAACCCCTCCCCCCTGCGCCTCGACCTCGAGCGTGCCGTACGCGATGCGGGACGGCAGCTGCGCCAGCATGCGCCCGAGGTCGTGGCGCTCGGCCGCCAGCTGCGCCCGGCCCTGCACCGGGAACGCGCTGGTGCTGCTGCCGCCCCGAGGTCCCTGGTCTTGCCCGCCGCCTGCTACGACATTGCTTTCCGGCTGCTGCTGCTGCTGCGTTCCGTCGTCTTCTATGTCGTCCCCGGCAAACGAAAAGGAAAACGCCATGTTTCGGAGCGTAGGGTGGGGTTCTTTTTTTTTCCCTCCCAAGTGGGGGATCTGACAGGGCTGAAAGCACCCGACGTATCGGAACCTGTTTCCTTCGGGCCTTTTTTTTTGTCTTCTTCTCCCTAGCTCTTTGCTTTTCACCGTTTGACTTTCGTCCTACCTGCTGTCTCGCGGTATTCTCTCGATGTTGCACAGCCGGATTCCCGGGTTTGTTTTCCAGTAGACCTGTTTCACGGGCAGTTGCATGTCCGGTTAGGGCTAAAAATTTAGACGCCCAGCATCAAATTAACGTGGCGGCGATTCGCGACAGAGCATCATGTCAAACTTGACCGAAAAACAAAACTCAGCCTGAGTAACTAAACTGCATCGCAACGTGAAAATCTGGGCCTAGGAAATGAGATTATTGCGTGAGTAGTATTTACAGCCGTAGCATAGAGTGACAACCCAAATGTCCAAAAAAGACATTACATTTCTAGCGTTGGTATAAATTCAGACACTGTTGCTATTTTTACATCTATTCCCCCTCCCCTCCCCTGTTCTTTCTCGTCTTTATGGCCATCATGAGCTCGTAGAGCTGCCCGACCTGTTCCTCTGTCGGAGGAGACACATTAGATTACCTTCACGTGTAAAGCAGAAACGGGCAAAAACCCTCACATACCGCTGAGCTTTTGCATCTTTGCCGGGTCGATCTTCTCCTCGGCCCAGGAGTCGCCCTCGACCGTTTGCGCGTACAGCTGCCACTCGGTCAAGAACCCAATCTGTGCCCGGGGTGTGCGGCTCGTCAGCCGGCTGTTTTTTCTTCTTCTTCCTCCGGTTTTTTTTTTTCCACCCCTAGGCCAGTGACCGGAGCGGGTTCAGACTCACCAGATGTGCCGGGTTGTCGACGTTCCGGTGCGCCCTGAACTCGGCCTTGACGTACTCGTCGCCCAGCACGCGCATCTCGTGCGACAGGTGCTTGCGGTGCGCCCTCAGCAGCCGCCGGTACAGCGGGATCGGCGGCAGCAGCGCCAGGGGCGCCGGCCTCAGGGCTGACGACGGCGGCGTCGAGGCCGCCGCCGCCATGAGCCTCGCGGCCGAGGCTCTCATGGCTGGGTGCGTTTTGCAGGGGCCGCACCGGTGTGTCTAGACAGCGAGAAAGCAATGGCGCTCTTTGGGAGTCTCTCTCTCGGCTTGGTTTGTAGTGCAGGAAGCTCCGGGTCGGGTTAACCGGGCAGGCTTGAGGCTGTCGCCACTGGGGTCCACCGAGGCAGGCCTGAGCTTTGCGGTACTGTGTCAATGACGCATATACCACACTGTCCTTCATCTAGGGACTCTAAGAGATATAAAAGCGCAAAGGAGTTGGATTCAACGCAACGGGAGAAAGGCAATGTGATTTTCGATACGGGGCAGGATTACAGCGCGCAAATTATGTCTATATCTTCTACATGGCACGCTTGTTGCATATCCTGCTTAACGAAAATCACCTTTCCATTGCGCCCAGGTACAAAAGCTCAACGCCAGACAGCCTCAGTCTACCACAACCCCTCCAGCGCTTCGGGGATCCAGACCGCCTGGATGACGGCGACCTTTTTGGCGTAGTTCTTCTGCGTGAAGACGTGCTCTAGAAACATGATGCCCTCCTTCTTCTGCCCGTGTAGCACGCTCGACGGGTGGATGGCCACGACGTGCTTGCCCTGCGTCGTGACGTAGCTCCCGTCGGGCGCCAGCGTCGCCGTGCGCGTGCAGAAGCCCTTCATGAAGCACTTTGTTAGCGCCTCGGCCCCCTCGGGCGACAGCGGCGCGAACGGCTGGGGGTCCGGGGCCGGCCTCTCGGGCAGCAGCCGCTCCGTTACGCAGAGCGCCCGCAGCTGCTTGCGGATGTTGAGCGCCTGCCGCATGGTGCGCATGTTGATGCGCCGCGCCCGGCACCAGTCGGTCCGGTCCGAGCCCTCGGCCGTGTACATCTGCATCGTCGTCAGGTACGTCATCAGGTCGCCCTCGCGCCGCCGCAGCTCGCGCCGCAGCTCCTCGGCCTCCTCGCGCGCCTCCTCCGACTGCAGCTGGTGGAACAGGTCGTCGCCCGCGCTGATGCACGAGATGATGTCGATGGCCTCGAGGAGGCAGTCGTACGCCGGGCTTGCTGCCGCCAGCAGCACGCGTCCTAGCGACGCCGAAACCGGGAGCCGTGCCATCTTTCGGCCCAGCTCCGTTATGGCGCCGTTGTCGTCCAGCGCCGAGAGGATATGGAGTTGCGTGAGCGCCTTCTCCATGTACGCCATCTTGGGTGTGTCCATGAGCGGGAACAACAGCAGATCCTCAACTCCGCGCGCCTTCATAATCAGCACGGCGTCTTGCACATCGTTCCTCAGGATCTCGGGAGGATCCGCCTCTCGCAGCTCCTTGTACACGTCTTCGGTATACAGTCTATAGCACTTGCCTGGCCCCTCACGGCCGGCACGGCCAGCCCTCTGGATAGCAGACGACTGTGAGATGGGCCCAATCAGGAGGGACTCGAGCCCGAGACGGGGCCGGTACTGTTTCGTTTTGGATTTGCCCGTGTCGACAACGTATCGTACTCCAGGTACCGTCACTGAGGTTTCTGCAATATTGGTGGCAAGCACCACTTTTCGAACACGTCCCTTGAGCGGCCTGAAAGCGGTATGCTGGGCTTCGATCGAGAGCTGGCCATACAGCGGAAGAGCCTTGATCTTGGGCACATCGGATGCGAGCGTGGCGGCGTACTCTTCGATGAGCCTCTGCATCTGCTCAATCTGCTCCTGGCCATGCAGAAACACCAAGATATCGCCGGGCAGGGGTTCGCCGCAGTGTATCTTGAACACCGTCTTTAGGACCTCGTCTGCCAGGTCTGCCACCGGCTTGGGGGAGTAGATGGTCTGGACTGGAAACTGCCTGCCCTGAATCTTGAGCGTCTTGGACGCAGGCTCCATCGTACTGCTCAGTCCAGTAGTTCCAGGATCTGGACCTACACCTGAGAAGAACTCCTCCATAGTTTCAATGTCGGCCGTGGCGCTCATGGCCACGACCTTGAGTGGCACACCCCCGCGGCCGGGCTTGTCCGGCGAGAGGAGCATCTGCTTCAGGAACCCGCACAGGAGATCCACGTCGATTCCTCGCTCGTGGACCTCGTCCACAATAACGGCGCTGTACTGCCTGAGACTGGGGTCGTGCAGAAGCTCCTGCAGCAGCATGCCCTCGGTGAGGAACTTGATCTTGGTTCCCTTGGGGACGTTGTGGTCGAAGCGGACCGAGTATCCGACGAGCCCCTCCTGGCGCCCCGGGCCGCCCGCGGCCGACGTGCCCAGCGGCGTGCCCGCCTCCCTGGCCACGCGGTGCGCGAGCGTCGTGGCGGCCACGCGGCGCGGCTGCGTGACGGCCACGACGCCGCCCACGGCCCTCTGCTCGGTCCTGCCGTCGGGCAGCCGTATGGGCACCACCCGGCGGCGGCACCAGCTTTCCTCGGCCAGGAACTGCGGCACCTGCGTACTCTTTCCGGAACCCGTCTCGCCGACGAGGATCAGGACGTCATTGTCCCGCATGTGCTTGCGGATGGCTTCCTGGTACTCCCATATCGGCAGCGCCCTGCGGACCGGAAGCAGTGATATGTCGCCTTTTGTTGTTGTCGACACGGCATCGGGCTCCCGGTCCTTTTTGCGACGTCGAGCCGGATCTTTGGGCCTTGTCAGCCCAGCCCCGGCAGGTGGCTCTGGTGGTCTCTGTGCCTCCTTTTTTGATGCAGAGGCGGCCTCGCCATTTTCCGTGGATGCTGGCTTTGGCTTTGGCTTCACGCCATTCAAAAAGCCATCAAGTGAAATGGTCTTGCCGCCTGGGAGTTTGAGGACAGAACCATCTCCCGCATCTCTGTCCCTTTTGCGTTTTTTTGAGACGTGACCGTCCATAATCTGGTGAGTTGTTGAATGCGAAAGGAAGTGTGGGAATTATGCACATCTAGCTGCCGAGCGCAGCACAGGCTCCTCACTTTGGCCTTGGGGCTTGACCGTCTGAGGCGGCTTTTTTTTTCCTTCGTTTTTTTTTGTCATGGACTTGCACAGACGGTACCTTGTCCCACATTTTAAGCTGCACGGTAAGGGGCCACGGGCCAAGAACACCCACATCCTGTGCCACCTGTAGCCGCCATGCTCAAAGCAACCACCATCCCAGCCTTGAAATCTTCGGCTTCGGATTCGGATGAGTGCTCGATTCGATAGCACTTGAATTACAAAATTACTGTCCAAATAGGACAACGGAAATTTGACATCATGATGCAAAAATACCTAGCCAACCTAACAACAAAGACAACAGGGGAACAACCACCCATGCAGCAATCTAAACAACGGGAATAATCATTGACGCGTGCAAACATCGATCAATCCTACTCTTGAGCAACGCCCCTTACAGAGAGACAGGCTGCTGCTGGGTCTCGAACCCCTCCAAGGGCAAGTGGCATAGCCATCTCTCCATCCAACAGGTATCTATGTACCTCGCCTTGGCGCTTCTTCGTTTATTTGAGTATATCGTCCAGCTTGCGGCGGTTGGTGCGGACGCCGCTGTCGACCTTGTCGCTCTGCAGAGAAGAAAAGACGTAGTCAGCATCGTAGCAAGTAATGAAAAGTAACAAGCGGCTCACCTTATCGCCGATCCTGTCAATGAGCTGGTTAGACTCATTGACACGCTGACCAAGGGTGCGCGCGATCTGGTTGAGAGTCGCGACACCCTGCTCCATGCCCGGCATGATCATATTGTTGATCTCATCCTCCTTGGCTCGTCGGTCTGCCCGGAGCGCCATGTTTTCGGGGTTATCGTCTTCGTCGTCCGATTCGTCGAAAACAAACTTGTTGTTGCTGGCGGCCGCCTGAGTCGACGACAGGCCCAAGGCCCTGCGGTTGTTCATGGAATCCTGGATATCACGCATGTCACGCTCGTACTTGGCTTGCGACTGATTAGCGTCCTTGAGAGTTTCCTCGCGTCGTTCTCGATCCTTCTCCTGCTCCTCCATGAACTTGCGCTCCCGCTGATCCTTCTTCGACTTGGTCATGAAGGGGTTTCCGGGGTTCCACAAGCTGCGGTTGTAGTGCTTCAGCTCCTTTGTCTTCTCCTGAGCTGTGCGGTTGTGGATTGCTGCCAAGTCCAGGTTCCTCTCAGTGTTGCGCAGACGCTCGTCCTGCTGCGCCATGTTTTGCAGCGTGCCGTTGGCCGTCTCGATCGTGCTATTGATGATGCCCAGGATCCTGTGGCCAGTGTCGACCGTCGCATCTCGCTCCTGGTCGACCTGTCGTGCCATCTCTCTCTCCTCCAGCTTGATTTGCTCCTGCTCGGTGAGCTCGCGCTCCTCGCCATAGCCGCCGTACTTGTTGCCCGTTGGGCCGTCCGGCGTCGGCGCCCCGCCATAGCCTCCCTGAGATGCACCATATCCTCCGGCGCCCGCGTTGGGAGCCCTGCCGGGAGGGGCGTTCTGAACCCTGTCCTTGGCGCCACCGAAAAGAGCGTCCCTTCCAGCACCGTCGTCTGCATCGCGCGACATGCCTCCATAGCCACCGGGGCGACGCCCGCCGGCGGGGCTGTCGTTCTGGCCACCCCTCGCGGGGGCGGCACCGCCGCCGTACGAGTTGGAGTCTCCGTATCTGTTTGACGAGCCATAGCCGCCCGAGGCGCCGTACCGGTCATTGCCGTAGCCGGAGCTTTGCTGTGGTGCTTGCGGTTGGTTGTTGTATGGCGGCGAAGGTCCGCTCATGCTGCTAGCCGCGCTCGAGGGACCGCGGGGCGCAGGACCACCGGGGAGGCCGACACCACCAGGACGCCCGCCTCGTGGACCGCCGGGCAGTCCGCCGGGGTGGGACATGAGCACCTTCTCGTTGGAGCCCTGCTGGTAGGCATAGGGATCATTGGCGGGCTCTTGGGCATATGGGTTCTCTTCGGCCGGCTGGTTCGAGCTCTTCTTTATTCCGAGGAACTTCTTCATGTTGAGGGTTGTGGCGAAATGCCAGGTTGGACAGGGAGAGATCTGTCGGTCAGTGGGACAATCGAGGTCCAGTCGCTGGCTGATTGTTTGTAATCGATTTTGTTTCGAAGATGGTCACGGATGGGAATGGTTCTTTGGTCGTCGACGGGATCGAGAGGTGGTGAGCAGGAAGAAAAGGAAAGGAATAGGTCGGCGGCTTTCCAGGCGGAGGATCCCCTTAGTCGCTGGTGCTTGGTGGCACGCCTAGGTCCGTGTTTGAATGGCGTTTCGAGCTGGAGGGCAGTGTGGGGCCCCCTCCAAATGCAAAAGAAAGGGTCCAGTTTGGTGAGCACGGTGAGATGCCGCCTGTTCAATGGGTGGCAAGACGGGCTCCAGTCAGGCTTCAAGCCCAATAATCAGCCCCAGCCTCGGCTGCAGGCACGGCCACGGCTAGTTGGCGACTTCGCCGCCTACGACGCGCGCTGCTTGCGTGCTATTTATTCCAAACCCAGGAATGGAGCAGAGCTGGGCCTGTTTGTCTACAAACCATGATCAGGGACGTGGCATGCTGACCAATATGATGCACGCTGCCTAATGGGCCTGAGGAAGCCCCGTCGTGAAGACGGCATGGTCCGATGATGCTGGGCTGGTCAAGTGGCTCGCTTTTAGTGGCTCAGGCGCGAATCCAAAAGCGGCGATTTCGATTTGCAACGTCCCGCTCTAAAGAACACTTCCCCAGCAGAAAGAAGCCCCCTTGGTGACTCATGGTCGCTGGGTCGTGTCTTTATCAAGGCCTTGACTGTTCGGAGCTGAGCCGCGGAAGATGACTGGGACGGGGAGGCGGCTGCTGTGGGGCGTGACATCTTGACCCCAGCTGAGCCGTTTCCAGGCACTCCGTGTCCAATTTATGCCGACGCACTTGCCCCAAACTCCGTCCTTGGGCTCACCAGACTCCTACAACTTATAGCTCCTAGGGATCAAGATGTCTTCAGCCACTGCCTAAGATTACTTCCTACATGCGACTATACCCTCATATTTTCTCTCCATCCAGGCAAACACCACCAACAACACCTGTCGACCGGCTGAATTCGATCCCACCAGACGGGATTAGGCAGCCTTCGTCCTCCGTTTGCTCTCTCTCTCTCTCCCGTCCCTTGGCTTGTCCTAGGGACTCAAGATGATCCAAAGATTAGCCTTGATACCGTTGTGCGATGCAATAATATCTTTATACTTGCGACAGTTCTAAGCCAGGAATCTATCTTCTTTTCTCTCTTTTACTATAAGCATTTCCAACGTGGCAAAGCAAAGACGCCTGTCCGTGGTATCATCACGTCTCACCGCCCCCTGAGCCCTGAGTGAGCGACTCGAGTTGGCATCACGCCCCCGGCTTGACCATGTCGGTCTTTACCTATGACCCGGACCCACCGCGGGTCTCGTCTCCGTGGCTCCAGCCCGCGGATCCGGGGAAAAGGCGGGACTCCCCTGGGCCCGATCGCGGCCCGGCCCCCGCAAACTCGGACATGCTCGCCAACTATGGCGTCACCAAGCTGGCCGCCGAGCCGGAGCTTGGCCCAACCGAGTACAAGCTGCACCTGCTCCTCCGCCAGAGGAGGGGTTTCCGCTCCATGAGCACAACGAACCGCATCGCCGGCTCGCAGCAGGCCCGCCCTGCGCCCTCGGAGCCCAAGGCGCTGCTGAAACACCGCGCGGTGGTCATGGCGTCGTCCAACCAGACTCGCCAGTCCCGTTTCCTGCAGCTCACGACCCAGCTGTTCTGGAGGCTGCGGCAGTCATCGCCCTACCACGCCTCAGTCGCCAACCAGGAGCTTGTCATCCCCCACCTCCCGGATGACTATGCAGCCTCGTCCGTGTCGGTCAAGCCCGGCAAACCGCTCCCGGGACTGGAGGAGTCCAGGGGTGCCTTGTACGAGATTGGAGTTGCTGATGATGGCACTCTGGTTGGCCTCGCCAAGGACGAGATGGATGAGAGCATCGCCAACCTGAGCATCATGGCAGCGAGCCTGGGGTGTGTGACCGAGATCCTGCGCCGCGTCATTGTTGGAGACTGCGAGTGGCTGGAGGACCCTCCGTCTCAAGTGGTCCACCACGGAGAGCTCTGGGTCGCCGAGGTCCTGGTCACCCCGAACCTCGGGGCTTCCGACCAGCAGCTCGATGGAGGCGAGCACACGAACGGGGCCGCTTCGACTAGCTTGTCCTCGACTGAACTAAACCCTAGTGCAGGTCCCGCAACCACGGACCAATTACGAGTGACCTTGACTGGCCCAACAACGTCGGGAAAATCTACCTTGCTGGGGACCCTTTCGACGGGGACGCTCGACAATGGCCACGGCAAGAGCAGGCTTAGCCTCCTGAGGCATCGGCATGAACTTGCGTCCGGCGTCACAAGCTCGGTTGCGCAGGAGCTCATCGGGTATAAAGGGAACGAGATTGTCAATTACTCCAACAGAAATATCGAGTCCTGGATCGGCATTCACGACTTTACCGCCGACGGCCGTTTAGCGTTCGTCTCCGATTCAGCCGGCCACCCACGATATCGGCGCACCATCCTTCGTGGCATCGTCGGATGGGCGCCGCACTGGACCATCCTTTGTTTGTCGGCAGACTGCGAAGAGCCAGCGGGCAACGGTGGCGGCAAGCCCTCCGCCAGCTACGACATGGCCGATTTGGCGAGCGCAGGACTCGATCTTGCCAGGTCTCACCTGGAGTTGTGCCTGAGACTGCAGATACCCCTTGCTATCGTCGTGACAAAGATGGACAGGGGTACCAAGTCTGGGCTCCAGAGGATTCTTGGCAGGGTGTTGTCGAGCATTAAGCAGGCCGGCAGGACCCCAAAATTGCTACATCCTGGTCGAAAAAGTGATCCCGACATGGCTAATATACCTCAAGAGGACATGGACAATGTTGGGAAAATCGTGGGTGAGATGACGGCGAGCGGCGACCTGCTCGCCACCGTCCCCATTGTGCTCGCCAGTGCAGTCAACGGCACAGGTATTGGGCTCGTGCATGCCCTTCTGAAGCAATTGCCGTTACCCCCTGCACCAACGGCCTACGATTTGACCGGGCCGGCCTTGAATCCGGACCAGCCCGCGAGCCTGTTCCACATCGAGGACAAGTTCAGTTTGCCTGCGTCGCATGCTTCTGTTGGCGGGAGTTCGGTCGACCAGACGGACGTTGGCACCGTGGTGGCAGGATACATCCGTTTCGGGAAACTATCTGTTGGGGATACGGTTGTGGTAGGGCCTTTCCCATCCGACGAGGATGACGGCAGGGGCTCGACTTCTCCCGAGGGGCGACAGTCGCCCGGCAGCTACGGCCTCTCCATCTCGCACCCGTCGGCCACCGAGCTCAACCGCATCGCGTCCCGGAGCGCCGTCTCGGCCTCGGCCATAAAGGGCGAGTGGCACAACGCGCGCGTGGTGAGTCTGCGCAGCCTGCGCCTGCCCGTTCTTGCGCTCGAGGCTGGCCAGGTCGGCACCGTCGGCATCGTGCTGGACGTGCCGAGCGGGAGGGCCACGGGCGAGAACGGCATGCTGGGGGCGCCGCCGCAGCAGGGGGGCCACAGGGCGCCCAAGATCAGAAAGGGAATGGTAGTGGCGATCCCAAGCAAGCACATGCTCGACGGCGCCGTCTCGCTCCAGGCCGCGAGCGGGCTCACCGCGCTGTTCCGCGACCCAGAGGCCGCCTCGCTGATAGTGGGGAGCTTGGTGAACATATACGTCGCCAGCGTTCGTGCGGCCGCCAGGGTTTTGCGTGTCACCGGGGTGGCCGGAGCATCTCCTCCCGATTCCGCGAGCGTCCCCACCGAGGACATCGACGATGTGTTCAACCTGAACGAGGAACAGATGTCGGACAACAGGGCCGCCGGAGGTGTGCAGACAGCCCCGCTGGATGGGGTTGAAGTGCGACTTGAGCTGTTGAGCAATCGCGAGTGGATCGAGCTGGGGTCCCATATCGTCCTTTTGGAGGGCGGGAGGCACGATAGGTCCGGGCTGGAAGGATTTTCAGGCAAGGTGGTTGAGATCGTTGACTGACGAGGTGAGTTGGAGAGTTGGTCATACTCTAGTTGGCTTCTCATGCGACTTTCATTGGTTTTGGATTTTATGAGGCCCTTGGTTTTTCGTGGCCTCGAAGTAATTATATGTCAGAATGAATGCTAGTAATTTTCCTTGAAGTAAAGACGTAACCTGCCTTGTTGAGCCCAGTGCTCTCACGATATGCCGATCAGCGCAAATGACAACATTGTGAAACAAGCACATAAAATTTCGTGATATTGCCCACCAGCCCAGACGCCAGCGACTCCTCAAGAATGCAGAAAACCAAAAACCATGGGCAACTGGTGTGCCCGCAACCATCCTTGTTCATGCCCGCACCAGACCATAGAACAGCGTCCAGGTCAATATGAAGCCAGCCAGGCCGTTCATCAGCCCGCTTGTCCACACCTCGTAGGGACCACGGAAATATCTGCTGGTGTCCAAGGGGCCCTTCCCGGCGGCGAGCGAGGTGGGGGCGACGCGGAGGCCGTAGAAGAGGGCGGCCGAGAGGAACGTGAATGCGACGTAGAAGAGGAAGCCCGAGTAGGACTCGAGGCCGAGGATGCCGGCGCCAACGCCAAACAGCGACGCGGTCAGGGTTTGGAGGTTGGAGAGGATCTATTCAACGGTCCGTCGTGGCGCAGCGCGGGAGCAGAGAGGAGGAGGGAGGTCAGGTCAGCTACTGAGGGCGCCCCTCGTATCCAGCGGACAGACCGCGGCCGGGGTTTGGAGGCCGGGCGGTTCTCAACCAGCGAGCGGACGGACCTTTGTGTTGTACATGACCGACTCCGGCACGATCGGTGCGATCTGATAGTCCTTTTCCGTCGCCATCTTTCCAGGTCGGCGGGCTGAAAAGACTGGGGCCCTGCAATCTCGATTAGCAGCCGCGGGGTATCAGAGGCGCCGAGTCTGCGCGTGTCGTCGGAGAATCGGGATGTATGTTCTGGCCTGTGGCTGCGTGTGTTCCAGCATTGACGTCCACAGGCTTGCCGCCGAGCTTCCTCAGAACCCCAAATGGCCATTGTGTTTGGTTGTGGGGCACGTCAGGTGGGCCACCAACCATTGACTTCATGTCAAATTCCATTGACTGCCGCCGCGCCGGTGGTTCCGCGTGGGCACCAGTAGTGGGCGACCCACTCTTTTTGATTGTTTGAATGTCGGGCGCTCATTTGCTGCCACTGCCTACCCTGAGGAAGGGGCCACGGGGGCCTCTCCCCCACGTGAAGGTAATGACGAACACACGATGATCCGCCGACACCCCCAGGGCAGGGCCAGGGTTCTGGCTAAGGCATGAAATCGCTCTGGATTGCAAAATCACCGCGGTTCAGGACCCTCCTGTCCTGATGGCCTTCACGTCTTCTGGGACTAGTGAACCCTTGCTCGGCTGTTTTTATTACTCGCAAAGACAGCGCTCCACCCTCCCAAACGGGCCAAATACGGTGCTGGGCTGAAGGCGTCGCAGCAATCCGCGCCGGCCGACATTAGGGTTTTTCGCTAGAACGGCGCTTCCCTGTACTGTGCTGTGCTGTGCGGGTTGCGCAGCGTCTGTGCTGGTGCTTGTCGACGACCGCATCCACACCCCCGGCGCACAACGCACACCCCGGGATCGAGAAGCACACGCCGCCACCCCCTTTCGTCGTCGGTGCTGTCCAGCGTTGCGAGCCGCGGCCTCTTGAGATCAGGGCGGGCTGCAGGGCGGCGGTTGTGCCGTGCAATCTGTGATCCACCCCCCAGGCACCTAGTCGGCTGCATTTCTTTCTTTGGACGTCGGATGCATCTTAGGCCAGAGCCTCTTGTCCTGATTCACTGCGACTGATGCTCGCCGCCTCATTCGATTGCGCATGCGACTCTGGACGACGACCTGCTTCCTTTGCCGACTCCTCCTTCCCAACCTACCTCCCTACATACATACGCCTTCCGTCCCAACTTTCCTGGATGCCGAGCCGAGTCGTAGCTTTGGCTTGGTGAAGTATTTCCCGCCCGTGGTAGCCCAGATCTAGTCAAAAGAAGCTCCCCGTGCGTTGTCCAGCCAGCCGGGGCCTTCACTTCGGCCAACACTTCATGGAGACCGTGGTATTTGATGAGAGCCCGTTGGCTGAGTACCTGAAGGGTGTGTTTCCCCCCGAGATCTCTTTTTCTCGTCTATTCTGCCTCGGTCTTCGGTTCAACCTTACGACTGGGCTGGCCCCCTTTTTATCGCGCAGTCCACAATGACACCAACAACAATACCCATCCCGCGCATTTTCGCTGTGCTGACTACGTCACCCTCGCTGTTCACCATAGACGAAGACGACGACCGGGGGACGCACGCCTGGGCGCAGCCTGCCGAGCCCGAGTACAATGTCGACACACCCCCGCCCAGCCCGCCGATGGCGTCCTTTGCGCCCGGCGGGCTGCCCGTTGTAAAGAGACGCTTCCGCAAGAAGCCCGAGGCTCTGAGCGTCGAGTGTCCGAATAGCATGTTGCTGTCTTCGTCCTTTCGGAGTCGCTATTCGGTAAGGCATCTGCTCGCCCTTCCTCCAGTCCCGCCGGGGGCTATCCCATCTCCCACCGTGGTCCGGAAGCAGGTCAACTGACACTTCTTTCCGCAGAGTGCCGTCGCATCACGTATCGATCGTGCCGAAAATGCCAAGTTCCTCGAGAAATTCCGCTACACCGTCATCGCATCCCAGCTGCTCGGAGGGCACTCGATTCTCGGCGCTCAGCACTCGCCGTCGCGCCCTGGTCAGGAGACGGACCTAAACGGGGATCACGAAGCCCTAGGGGGTTTTGTTTGGACTGTTGCGGGCGCCATCGCCATCGCGTGGGCGATGAAATGGGTCTACAGTGGCGGTTTCTCCCACCTGACCAAGAAACGGGTTCTCGCCAGCTTGGTTGTCGTGGCCCTCGCAGCTAGCGTCGGAAACGCATACATTCGCCAACGCTGGATCAGATATGTGCGGGAGCAGGCCCTGGCCGAGGTCACAACATTTACGGCAGTATCGCAAGACTTTGACAGCGTCGTCAGTGCGGCTGTTGCCCTTATCCAGGAGGTGGAGCTTGTCTCGCGCGGCTACAGAATGTAAGCAGGCCACATTCCTTTTTGGCGCGTGCCTCGTGAGAGGCGTGCTGTTTTGCAAACATCTGATGCTAACCATGTCACAGAAGCGTTCCGCTGCCGCCTATCAGCCGAATGGACGAGCGAAGCCATACTCGCCGCTGTGTGAGGCTGCGCAAGGCACTCAGGATATGCTTCGAGGACTGCATGCCCAAGTGCATGCAGATGTCCGATGTTGTCAAGGCCTTCTCGGAGCAACTGGATCTGGAAAAGTACTACGACATGTACGACATTAGTCAGCTTGACATTACGGATGCACTGCAGGGTTTCACCGAGGACGAGCTCGAGGATCTCGAGTCTCTGCGAGCTTTCAAGGTGGTGGCTTCTAGATTCCACACTCTACGCAAGTCGTTCCTCTGTGCCCTGCTGGCACTCGAAGTCACCGGCGACAAGACGGACTTTTTGCGGTGGACCACGGTCCTAGAGGGTGTCAAAAGCCTCAGTGAGGCCACAGCTACTGCCTACGAGCGACTCGCTACGATCCTCGGAGAGGAGGAATGTAAGGAGCCCCAGCCAACCATCACCTATCGCTGTCGAGAGATTTCGGCTGACCAGATTGCAGCATTTCCCGTCGTCCCCACCCCCAAGATGCCATTGTCGCCCGGAAGAGAGAGGTGGAGGTCGCAGCTGAGGAAGCTGAGCTCGCTCTCGTCAGGCATTCGTGGTCTCCAGGCAAAGATGACTCTGTTGAGAGAAGAATCAGATAGGGCACTGAACGAGGCCGAGGACGTGTCGGAGCTCGGCCCGAACCTCATGTCCCAGTACGACTCGATAGGACAGGACCTCAAGATCTTGGTGCAGGCCTGGGAGGAGGGCAAGACCGCTTTGGCATCAGGAATCGATCGGAACGAGAAACGAATATCGTCTATTGGCAGCCTACTGTCCCCGGACCTCTCGCTCGGCGGGCTCAATACGGTCGATGAAGGAGGTGTCGCGGAAGCCCTCAAAGCCCTCAACGGCGAGGCCTCGCCTCTCGCCAGCAAGAGCAGCCCTGAAGCGGACCAGGAGATCTTCGAGGCAATCGCTCTCCCACGCCCTCGAAGCACCATGTCGAGGGAAGAAAGGATAGCCAAGATGAAGGCGGACCGGGAGAAGAAGGCCGAGTCAAGAAAGAGCGTCGAGAACGGACGCTTCATGCTGCGGGAGCTGGAAACCGTGCTCAACCTCAAGAACGAGGCTCGACACGGCAAAAGCCCCTCAACAGGACGGGCGTCCTTGTAACCATGGAATCACCAGACCGGCGAACACATGCACTGCAACGCTTTGCACACGATTTGACGACGTACGACACTCACACTAGCGGAACCTCGCGCAAACTTCCTTTGCTAGTGCCCCATCATTGCCTATTTCCCTCGCATTTTCTTTTGTTGGCATAGAGACGATATCTTTTGGCTTACGCCCTCGTTATTTAATTTCTCCTGAATATCTGCCCATTCATGTGGTCAATAGCGGGCATATTACTTGCACACCTATTGTTATCCCCTTACTTTGCTGGCCCCTCGGCCGCTTCCAGTCGTTGCTTCTTCCCATTCTGTTTTAGTATTTCTCAGCATTTACAAAGTCATACTTGCAAGCCGCCACGCCAGAAGTTCCACCATCATCATTGCACAAACCGACAGACGGCACGGCTATTTTCTTTTGTCGCATGGAGGGTGGAGCGTCGTCTCCAGGTGACGGTCCGGTGTACATAAGCCCAGATTGCCTCAGACCATAGAGGCGTTAGTATTTAGTAGTTGTATTGTAATCATCAATCACAGCTGTCAGTGCCCAGTTTTTGCGTGGTCCAAGACAATGCTGGATGGCGACACTGCCATGCATACATGGAAGAGGTCCAGGGGCGTGACAGCCTCGCACGTAATCATGTGATTGTGTGCCCAATTTTGGCTTTGCCCTTGGTAGCAAAGTGGCAGCCCCGCGTTGAGTGGCCGCAGGCAAACGCAATTTACTGCCGTAGACGCGCCGCGAGAGCAGCAAGCGCGTCGTGCCGGGGTTTCTCCCCACTTTGACCCGCAGAGCGGCTGGACGATCTCTTCTCAGCCAGCCCCCACGACTGCCTTTCGTCACTCGGTCTCCTCGATCTGCCACCCACGCCCACGCCAAAAGTCGCACGCGAGAACCTCGACGAAGTATATTCCTGACTGGACTGCAGCGCCGTTGTGGTCATTTAATAATCTCCCCACCGAAGAGGTACGTGAGTGCCCGTCGTGGCGCGATACAGCGCTCCCCCACCTGGGCGACGTCCTCCCTCCAACACCGCAGGCACAGCCAGTTTTGCATCTAACGTGGTGTCCACTGCCCCAGTCAACCGCAGACATGTTGGAGGCACGCTTAGAGCAGGCCAGCGTCCTAAAGAAGGCAAGTTTCGGGCCGACTTTGTATTCTCTGCCTCGAGATGGCCTATCCGTCCATCCCTAGATGTTTCCCTGCCTGCCACCATATTCGTCGTTGGGCGGCGAGTGCTGACAGCCCCCCGCGCGCGGATGACAGGTCGTCGATGCGATCAAGGACCTGGTTCAGGACTGCAACTTTGACTGCAATGATTCGGGCATCGCATTGCAGGCCATGGACAACTCGCACGTGGCGCTGGTGTCGATGAGCCTCAAGGCCGAGACGTTCTCTCCGTACCGATGCGACCGCAACATCGCGCTGGGCGTCAACCTGACGTCCCTGACCAAGGTCCTCCGCGCGGCCCAGAACGAGGACCTCCTGACCTTCAAGGCCGAGGACGCACCCGACACTCTGAACCTGAGATTCGAGAGCTCCGAGAACGACCGAGTAAGCGAGTACGACCTCAAGCTCATGGACATCGATCAGGAGTACTTTGGCATCCCCGACACGGAGTACACGGCCACCATAACCATGCCCAGCGCCGAGTTCCGCCGCATCTGCACGGACTTGATGGCCATGGCGGACTCGGGTGAGTGACAACTACGGCATGGCTCTGCTACAAGGACAGGGACAGGCCAGGAAAGAAAAGCCGATAATTGTGGCTAAACGTCTTACAACTACGGACAGTGAGCATCGAGGCGAACAAGGACGGTGTCAAGTTTTCGTGCAACGGCGACATCGGCAGCGGCGCCGTGACGCTCCGGAGCCACACCAACGTGGAGAAGCCGTCGGAAAACATCGACATCGAGCTGACGGAGCCCGTCAGCCTGACCTTCTCGCTCAAATATCTGGTTAACTTCTGCAAGGCCGCTGCCCTGTCTGGCCAGGTCAAGATTGGTCTCTCACCCGACCTGCCCGTCATGGTTGAGTACAACCTGTCTGGCAGCAGCTACCTGCGATTCTACCTTGCGCCGAAGGTATGTCTCTTGTTCTATATTCCGGCTGGCCCACTTGGGCGAGGTGTCCTACTTTGCTGATAACCGAGCTTTACAGATCGGCGAGGACGAGTAAACGGGCCATCCTGGTTCATGGTTTTGCAACATCTTGTCTATTTCATCAAGGCGCGGCGCCGAGGTTTTGGTTGTTTGGCTGAAGAATAAACGCGGGATACGGAAGAGGATGATGTACTTCAAGATGACTCCTTCTGTATGCGACGGCCATGAGGGTGGTTGAGCCCGCAGTCCGGGAACAAAACAGGGAAATGTGCAGACCCAAGACGCACGCTAACCCATTCCATCCAAGTAGCCGTTTATGGTAATGAAGTTCGATGTTGAGATGATCCAAGGCGTCGGCTTCTCCAATCCCCTGTATATCCCCTCTACCTATCACAAGCAGCTTTCCTGAAGCCCCATGGGTTAGGGGGAATGTTTGTGCCAAGGTTCAAATCAGCAGGCCAGACGACAGAAGGGATGGGACTCCAGAAATATCTCGGTGCGTGGCAGAGTGAACAGCTTCCGGGGTGTTCAGAAGAAACCGCCTGATCGGGTCGATCCACTGGTGCTGCGTGCCGAGTCGTGCCCCTGAAAATGTCTACAATTCTTGGTCCTCAGCTGCGATGACTCGGCTGGTAATGGTCACGCTGGTGCAAGAGAAACCACACAGGAAAACCACTAGCGGGGGCCATCCCCCACTTGGCTGCCCGCTACGGGGGTTGAGCGATAGCAGTGAGTGTGCCCGCCTAGGCAATGGAGGGGCCCGGCAATAACAGACTCGGCGAGTGCCAAAATGGCTTGCTCCATTCATCTCCCTCGTCCTCTCTCTTTTCGGTGTCCAATCCGGCAGGCATTGGGGCGATATCGCAGCCGGGCTGAACTCGCGTTGTATCCCGTGGCAAGGCAGCTGCTGATTGGGCCCGCCGTGCTGTCTTATTGTGGGTGAGATGCGAAAAGGGCGTCGTCGTCTGCGACTGCGACTGTGACTGTGCCTATGACTGTGCCTGTGGCTGTGACGCAGAATTTGTTCAACCACGTCCCCCCGAGACGTACAAACTCGCCTACCTGTACCTACTTGACTACTTGACCCGAAGTCGATTTCCTCCCGAGTCTATCCTCACGAAAACGGCGTACTCGGCCAAAGCCCCTCGGCATCCATCACGCTCTCGGCCCAGATTAAGCCTTGGCGCCTGCGACTCATCCGGCTCTTCCGCGCCTAGCCGCGCGCATCGCCCAGACCGGCATACAGACACAAAAGCGCATTGCCGGAACACAGACGAGCAGTACACACAGCCATGTCAAGTCTAATGGTGCCCGAAACTCGGGTGTTGGCTGTAGCCAGCCACGTAGGAAACATCTCTCCCCTTTGGTTCCATCACCAGTAATTCGGTGCCTTTGGCTGACGCATGCGGATAGGTTGTTTCTGGGTACGCTCTGCTCATCCAGAAAGTATAGATAGCAGTCCCTCTGTTGACACGGATCCAACGCACAGAAATGTGGGAAACAAGATCGCCGTTTTTGTCATGCAGTCCCTCGGCTGTGAGGTTGCGGCGTTGAACACAGTGCAGTTCAGTTGGTTTCTTTGCACCCTTTCCCCTCACCCTCCTTTCCTGCCGGCTAGATGAAAAAAAAAAGGGGGGACGTCACAGAGACAAATGTGTGCGAAACCCCCCTCCAAGCCGCGGCCGGGGGTGTTGTTTGCTGACTGCTTCTCCGGCGGGGACGGGGAGGGGAAAATCTTTTTCCTCTTCTCGCCTGTTTCCTTGTTGCGTACCCTCCCCATAGGTAACCACACGGGCTACAAGCAATGGAAGGGGACGCGGGTCTCGGCCGAGGAGATCTCGGACCTCTGGGAGGGGCTGAAGCAGTCGTACCTCGACGGGTTCGACATGATGCTCTCGGGCTACATCCCCGGCGCGGCCGCCGTCGAGGCCGTGGGCCGGATCGCGGCGGAGCTCAAGGCCAAGGCCGGTGCGGCCGGCGCGCCCGGCGGCTTCTTCTGGGTGCTGGACCCGGTCATGGGGGACAACGGCAACCTCTACGTGGCGCAGGACGTGGTGCCGGCGTACCGGGCACTGCTCGGCCACGCGGACCTGATCCTGCCCAACCAGTTCGAGGCCGAGGTGCTGTCCGGGGTCGGGATCGAGGACGCGGCCTCACTCGAGCGCGCCGTTGGCGCGCTGCACGCGGGCGGCTCCTTATCCTCCTCGGGGGTCCCGCACGTCATCATCACGTCCGTCTCGCTACCGCACCTGGGCCACCCGGACCGGTCCATGTGGGTCGTCGGCTCGACCAGGACGTCGGCCGGCCGGCCCCGACTCTTCAAGATCGTCTTCCCCGCCATCGACTGCTACTTTAGCGGCACCGGCGACATGTTTGCCGCCCTCATGGTCGCGCGTATGCGCGAGGCCGTACACCAAGCCGACGCGGCGGCGGACTCGACAGCAGCAGCAGCAGGAGCGACGACGGCGCGGCTCGGCGACCGTGCGTCCTGGGTCAGCGACGACTCGGTCGACGCACTGGACCTGCCGCTCGCCAGGGCGGCCGAGAAGGTCCTGGCCACCATGCACGAGGTGCTGTCCAAGACGCTCGAGGGCATGGACGCCGAGATGGCGCGCGTCCGGGAGAGGCTGGCGGCCGAGGGCGCGGCCGCCTCGGAGGAGGAGCGGGCCAGGGACCTCCGGCTGCACCAGTCCAGGGCGGCCGAGCTGCGGCTGGTGCGGAACCTGGAGTCTCTTAGGAACCCCAGGGTGGCGGCACTGCGGGCCGAGAAGATGTAGTGTCTCACTCTCCACCTCGCCTCGTTCTTTTTTTGTTTCTTACACAGATACAATGGAGTTTTGGGCTGCATTATATGAAAGTTTGCGTCCTATTTCTTCTTATTTTTTTCGCATGTGGTGGCCATGAGCGCTTCTTTTGGAGGGGTGGCTTTTGAGCAGGCATCTTTCAGTGAGCGGGCTTGCCCATACGCATACGAGCATGTCCCAGCCCACTAATAATAGAGGTCTTTCAACATAACTACACAATACCTACTACCACGATGCTTCAAGGGGAAAGAAGCAAAACAGGCCCGTATAGCGTCCGTCGACTGTTCCTTGATCATAGCATTTCCCCCTTGGAAATGCGAGCAGATGCCCTTGACCATGTCAAATTATAGCCCAAACTCCATCCTAGTTGGATTCTATCGTCGCAACAAAAGCCATGCTAGGACCTTAGTCCATGGTTGCCCCGAGCCCCCAAGGAGCCAGGCGAGAGCGGCAAAAAGCTCTCGCCTATCTCAGGTGCGGCCGGTGCTGCCGAAGCCGCCGGCGCCGCGCACGCTCTCCTCGAGCTCCTGGACCTCGACGACCTCGGGGGTGTAGATGCGCTCGACGACGAGCTGGGCGACGCGCTCGCCCTCGTCCACCTTGAAGTCGGCGTCGGCGTGGTTGAAGAGCAGCACCTTGACCTGGCCGCGGTAGTCGGCGTCGATGACGCCCGCGCCCGTGTCGATGAAGTGCTTGGCCGCCAGGCCGGACCGGGGGGCGATGCGGCCGTCTTTGTCCCGACGCGCGCAAGATGGGGCAAGAGTCAGTTACGGAACGGCGGTGGTGGTGCTAGCGGTGGTGGGTATGTAGGGAATTTGTCGGGAGATGGGGGACTACTAACAGGTGCCGGCGGGCACGGCGATGCTGATGTCGGTGTCGACCAGGACCTTGCCGCGGGCCGGCACGACCGTCTCGCGCGCGGCGTACAGGTCGTAGCCGGCGGCGAAGGCGCTGCCGCGCGTCGGGAGCCGGGCCTTGTCCGAGAGCTTCTTGACCAGGAGCGGCGGGCACTGCTCGAGCGTGACGGCCGTCTCGGCGGCGGCCGTGGTGGTGGTAGCGGCGTCGGTGGACATGATGGGCACCGTGTTGTCGACCTTGACTCGTTTGGCGGGCGGTGAGGTCGGCGGGGATGCGACGGCGGGAGGAGGCGCGGCGGGCTCTTCAGTTGTCATGCTTCTGCTACTGCTGCTGCTGCTGCGGGCCAAAAGAAGATTCTGCACGGTGCCGGGCCGGTGGTGCGGTCGAGGACGAGGCGGCGGCGGATCAAGGGGGGCAGGAGCAACACGGCAGGCTGGCGCATAGGGGAGCTCCAGCTTAGCTTGGGTGGTCCCAAGGGAGGGGTCCAAAAAGCCCCGCCCAGTGGTGAAAACCACCAGCACGGCTGGACGCGTCGAGACGCAGCCGCCCTGATTGGCCAATTGAATAAGCGGTCATGGTTTGGGTTGCCAATCAAGACCCTCACAGTTCAGGGTGGGACATCTGGGCAAGGGATATCGCCCAGTCACCCAAGTAGAATCACATCTGTGTGTATGTGCCTTTGTGTGGCGAGCTAGCAGCAGTGTGATAATTAGAGAGAGAGAGAGAGATGCTATCGGCGTCCGTCCACCGGAGAGCATCACCCAAAATACCACAAACCAACAGGAGCCCTTGCCTCCAAGACCAAGAGCAGCATGCGCTTATGCAACCGATGCTTTAACGGGTCGGGTCATGTACTATAGGGAGGGAAGCCCGGCTTCCGCGACTAGCAAGAATCCAAACGAGTGCCCCTGCTTCTCTGCCGCTGCTTCTCAATCATCTAACTCCTTGCCAAAGTCCACCAGCCGGAGCCGAGTCGCATCCTTGGGATGAAACTGCGCCACCCTCGACCGGACCAAGAACCTGGCGGCTGCCGACTCCCTCGTAATCTTCACGTAGGCAGCCCAGCCGTCGCCCCCAGACTCGACCAGGCTCCTGAGGAGCTCCTCAGTCAGCTCCCGCATGTCGGCGGCCGCCGCTGCCTTCTCGTCCCACCCCTCCCTGGGCTTGGACACTGGGCGGGCCGAGGGGCTCCCCCAGATCTCGTCGATTCGCCTCTGTCGGAGGCCTTGGTCGACGTGGTCCTTGGCCTTCTTCACCTTGCCCTGCGAGCTGAAGCCGGCGACCAGGCCGTCCGAGTCGACCTCCATCATGTCGCCGACCACGGGGCCCCCGAGCTCCTCGGCGGCGAGGAGGGGGGCCAGGTGCTGGTCGATGAACTGGTTGAACGCCTTGAGCAGGGATGCCGCCTCCTGGTCGTAGCTTCGCTTTTTGCGCCGCAGCTCCTCGAGCCGCTCCCGCGCGACCTCCTCGGGGCCCTTTTCGACCCTCGACTCGAGCCCGCTGCGGAGCGACTGGATCCGGTCCTCCAGGCATTTCTGGAGAGCGTGCTGGTCCTGCAGACCCGCCTCTGCCGCCTCGAGCCGCCTCCGCGCCTTGTCGGCGGCGGCAGACTGGGCCGCCAAGAAGGCCCGGGACTCCTCGATGGTCCTGTGCGTCTTACGCATGGCCACGAGCGCCGGCAGCAGCGAGTCCGGGCCGGGCAGGGGCGGCGCAGACTCGGCCGCGTCCTTGTACCCCGCGGCCATGATCTCGACCGAGGCCGCGGCTGACGGCTGGGCCGGGCCAGAAGACCCCTGGGCGCGAGCTGCGTCCTGGATCGCCTGGAGCCGACATCGGATTTAGCGAACGGTCGGGCGGGCGGGCGGGCGGCTAATGAGACATGACAAAGAAAAGAAGGGGACAGAAGAACGAGGAGACCAAGGAACAAATACAAAGCGCGTCCGGGAAGGGACAGAATCGCCGATGAAGACGGACGGCCTGAAACGTACCCTACGCAAGGAGTCCTCGTGTTGCTTGACCATCCTTTCGAGCTCGTGGATAGAGCGACTCATGTGAGCTGCATGGCCATCTTTTTCCGCCGCCGCTCCGCGTCCCGATTTGCCGTCCATTTCGGCTCGGGAGGCAGGAAGCCCTGGGCGCGCAAGGGGAGAGGGGCTTAGTGGCTGGCTGGCTGGCTGGCTGGCTGGCCGACACTCCTCCGTGTTGTGTAGCATGAATAGGTTGCTGGGCTTTAATCATTTGGTCCGGGTGATCAGACGAGAGGGTTGCGAAGGTGACCCGACAGGCTCATCGCCACCGACGAGACGAAGCGTCGCAGCCCGCTCATGAGGGAGGTGGGACAAGGGCGCACGGGAAATATCAGAGGTGCGCGGCTGGGGGAGAAAGCACCCAAGACCCGCAGTCTCACATGCAGAATTGGGCGACACAAGGAAAATCCCCTTGGCCAGGAGGACATGACACTGCGTGTTTCTCACGCAAATTAACTGCAAATATGCTGCCAGGCCGCGTGCCAGGGTCAATTCTGCCGTCTGAGGAGCAATCAAGGACGTTGACTTTTGCTCCTTCTATCTTCTCCCGTCTGTTCCTCACCCGTCCAGGAGGTGCGCAAATGTTTCATGAACATTGCCCCTTGTCGGAGCAGATTATGCCGCTGCTCATCCTGCTGCCACACTCGCTTTGGGCGATGAGTTCCTGATGAGAATCCGATAGAAATCGGGCGACACGACGAAGAGAAAATACAGAAAAAGAGTGACTTGGCACACACACACACAAGTGCCCCAAACACAGGCGGCTCGGGTTATCTTGTCGTCACTACTGTGTCCCCTCGTATTCCTTCCCTTTCCTGATTTGCTCCTGCGCATGTATTCTCTCGCTTCTCCGTTCCTTAGACGTCGGCTCGGCCATTTTGGGTAGAATGAATAAGCTCTTTTAGCCAGAGTCGCGGTATTCAGGCAGCTGCAGGGTTACAGGGCGCGGCTTCCATCTGATTGATGCGACGCAGGATCGCAGTGCAGAAGGTGCAGAAAGTGCAGCGGAATGTCCCCTATGCCAGCCAACGGTGCAATCAGTGTCGTTTCAATTCTCCACACGAGGAACTACCGAGCCCGTGCCGCCCCTCCAATGGGAGACGAGCCAGCCAGGAGGCAAAAAGTCGACCCCACACGGGCCAGTCATGGAGGTGCCTGCCCGGGCCACAGCCACAGAGTTTGCCGTCGCCCAAACAGCCTTTGAGACAGCCCAGTCCCCGTCTCTACTCCTTCGCCTCCCAGCCGTGTGTGCGCTTTGTTTGCACCTCACCACCACACCTCCCATCCTCAAAGCCAGCGCGGCAACCAGCGAACAAAGGTGAGTGAGTGTGGTTTCCCTATTTCCACTGGTCGGTTCCGTTTGCCCGCCTGGCCCAAACGTTGCCACGTCCTGTCTTGTCCTGCATGTTCTCCTCTCCGTCCTGTCCTGTCCTCTCCTGCTCTGCCCAGCGAGGTGAGGGTGCGTGCATCAATCCCGTCTCGGACCAGTTTTTTTTTCCCATTCCGCGCTGTGCCCGCTTTCGAACCATCCAATTCACTCGTGTTCAAAGCTCAAGCTCGTGCGAGCGGCCTGCACCTCCTCTTCCTGCAACACCTTCCCTCTCAACCATTCCGGGCCGACACCCATCAAGTTTTTTTCTTTTCTTTTAAGCTCCGCACTCTTTCTTCTGCTTCGCCCTCTTGACCGACGCGCTCTTCTTCCCCCCGACTCGTAGTCCGGGGCCTAACCTAACCTTGCTCTACTCCCAGCCCACACGCGTCACCCTCATTGTCGCGCCACCAGACACCTTTTTTTTCTGTTGGGATCACTACGGTAGCAGTCGCACGAGACGGCGCATCGCCTCTGGCCAGTCCCGAGCAAACGCGCCTCTCTGTCTTGTGCGTGCGCGCGTGCTCAACTCGAGTGGAGAGCTGTGGCCGGGCCTCAGCCGAGCCTGCCAACTGGGAATCGAAGGCGTGCTTGCTGCTGCAAGGCTGTGGTTTGTTGCCAAGGGCTGAAAGGGAGCAAACAGAGGTTTGAGAATTGGTTCTCTACTCGCCAGCCCTGCACCTCGTCGTCCTCTCACCACCCAACTTTCTCGCCCTTCACCTTTCGTTCACCCGATCTTCTCTATTCTCTTCTCCGCCGCCGCCGTCGTTTGGCACCCAGTGTCAACCTCGCGCCCACCTCTAAAAATTATTGAACACCGGCCCCAGCGCCCAAGTCTCTTCACCATCAGTCCTGCTGCGCACCAGCCCGCACCGCATCGCTCCTCTCCTCTCCAGGTCCCAAGCCTACCCGAAGCAGCGCCCTTGATCACAGGAGAGGCGGAAGTCCTACGAGGAGTTTGCATTCAAGCTCCTTCTCTCTCTTGGCCGGATCCCGCACCCGCGCCCTCGTCTCGATTTGAGTCCTACTCCATCGACCCTCGCGACCTTGCCTAGCGCTCATCCTCGGCCTCAAGTCCGACCTACACCTGCCCGCCACTACACCAGCACGTCTTCCTATCGGAAAGCCCCAGGTGTAGATAAGCCGCATTTAATCGAATAGTCAACCGAGCTTGATTCGCACGTGTCTGCAACCGACTGCGACGCCGTCCCTGTGACAAGAACAAGAGGAAGAATAAAATAAAGGAAAAGATTGACAAGACAGCCGGCAACATGTCGACCTCACCGGCGCCCAAAACAAAACGCCCTCTCGAGGACACGTCGTCTCCCTCCAGGACCGACCAGCCCGATGCGAAGCGACCTGCTCTCGACAAAGTCCTCCGCAACGAGGGAGAGGTTAAGGAGGAACCCATGAAGCCCCCCATCGGCAATGGCCTCCCGCCCATCCCGACGTCTGTATCGCTGCCCCCCATCCCGGATTCCAACGGCGCCACAACCAAGACCAATGGCGAGAAGGCAGAGCCCAAGGATGACCAGGGCGACACGGTGGTCTCGGACGCTGCCGAGTCCAAGCCCATCACAACCACGGCCAACAACACCAGCCAGGCCGCTACAGCCGCAGCCGATTCGCACGACGAGACTGCTTGGATTCACATCAGGGCCGTCATTTCTAGCCCAGAGGCCGCCACTGTCATCGGAAAGGGTGGTGAGAATGTGTCCAAGATTCGCCAGCTCTCGGGCGCCAAGTGCACTGTGAGCGACTACCAGAAGGGCGCCGTCGAGCGCATCTTGACTGTCAGCGGTATCGTTGATGCCGTCGCAAAGGTAATATTTTGATTTCACTCGCCCCAACACACCACTTCTCCCAAGCACCAGCTAACTGACGGCACCCTTTCTCCCTCTTCCTCAGGCTTTTGGCCTCATCATTCGCACGCTCAACAACGAGCCCCTCTCAGATGCATCCAGCGCACACTCCAAGACGTACCCTCTGCGTCTTCTCATCCCGCACATCCTCATCGGTTCCATCATTGGTAAGGGTGGCGCTCGCATCAAGGAGATCCAGGAGGCGTCGGGTGCTCGCCTCAACGCGTCGGACTCTTGCCTCCCTCTGTCGTCGGAGCGTTCGCTGGTTGTTATGGGCGTGGCGGACGCGGTCCACATTGCGACTTATTACGTGGGCAGCACCCTGCTGGAGCAGCTCAACGACCGTTTCGGCGGACCTGCCGCATCGGCGTATGCCACCCGAGCCGGTGGCCCCGTCGGCGCCGTTCCTGGTGGAATGCAAGTCGTGCCGTACCTGCCTCAACCTGCGGGTGGCAACTTTGGCAACCGCGAGAACTACGGACGCCGCCCTGACCCTAGGGCTGGACCGGTGCCCCAAGGCGCCGCCGTGCCCTACGCGCAGCACTACAACCCGCACGCGGCCCACCAGCCGACGCCTGCTGTGCCTGTGCACTACGGAGCCCAGGGTGGTGCTTACGGCGCCCATGTGCAGCCCCCGCATGTCGGCCATGCCGGGCCCCAAGTGCATGGCGCCCCCCACCAGCAACCGATGCATAGCCAGATGCCCGGCCCCGGCGGTGCACAGAGCCTGACGCAGCAGATCTACATTCCCAACGACATGGTTGGCGCTATCATCGGCAAGGGCGGTACCAAGATCAACGAGATCCGTCAGATCAGCGGGAGTGTTATCAAGATCAATGAGCCTCAGGATAACAGCAACGAGCGGCTGGTCACCATTACGGGAACGGAAGAGTGCAATCGTATGGCGCTCTACATGCTGTACTCGCGTCTTGGTGAGTTGCCCATCTTGCCCTGCAAACAAGATATAATGCTGTGACCACTAGCTAACCCAGTCGACCCATCCCGCAGAGAGCGAAAAGCACCGCATCTAAAGCTGGAGACGCCGAGGCCATACCACGGGGCAGACTAGGACGGATTCATCTTCGGGTTTCTCTAATGAAGCCATTGTAGTCATTTTTTTATTACCCAAATACCTCTTTCTTGTACGCACTGTCTCCGCCTCCTGAGCTTACACCGGCTGCGTTCCGTTTGATGAACAGTCGGCCGGCTCGGGTTCGCTTCTCTGCGTGATTCCCCAGCTTCTTCCTACTCTGATGGGTTACTCGGCTTATATTGTGACATGGCGACCTTGTTGTCGTACTGCCCACTCCTTGTCGTCAAGAATACGGTTCCCATGTTGAAATTTGGGGTTTCGTGTGTAGGACGGGTGGGCGCGTTTGGGCGTTTGGGCGTGGTCAAATTGTGTTTGCTAATTATCTGACAAGCAAAGAAAGAAATCAAAATCATCAAAATGCCATATTGCCGCGTGCCCAGCGACAAGCCTTCCCCACCCCAAGACGAGAAGCTGGCACGCTGGATACTGTACGGCATGCCTGGATCAGCACACCTCCGCATATCATCAGAGTCCCCCGCCTGCATATTGTAACCCAAACATGGGTGGCACAAAACATGATTTAGGATCCCTCATGCCACTGGTTGTCATGTATTGCCCTCCTCCTAGCCCCTCCCAGTTCGAGCCCTCCATGGACAACCAGGGCCGGCATGGTTGACATTGCTGGTCCTCGCTTGCTCTTGTTGTTTACTTGGGAGGCGATGGGCCGTAAACCCAGCTGGATAGGGTCGAAATGTCAGCATCACTAGGCATCTCGACGGACAAGTATCGGGTATGGACGGAGACGTACTTGTTCCACAGCTTGCCAATGAAACCGGGCGGCGGTCGCTGCTCGTGGAGGCTCTGCCTCCTGGCGATGGAGGCAGGGTCGTTGGATCGTTTCTGCTCCTGGAGAGAGGCGAAGAGGCCGGCCGAGTTCTGTGAAGGGGGTTAATATCTAGTGGCGATTGGGCGAGGTGTGTGCACTCACACGGCGAGGGGTGATGGGAGAGCCGGAGCCGGTGGATGCCGACGAGGTGGACGAGCTTCGCTCCCTAGGCGGGTTGGTTCCGGAGGCGTCCATGTTTTACTGCGTCGGGGTGGGTGGGCTCGGGAAACTGCGAGATTGGATACTACTGGTAGCAGATAGTAGCTGCCTCTCGAAAGAACAGCTATGTAGGCTAGATGGGTTGGTTGTATGTTTGGCGATCAATGTCTACTAGTGCTGCATGCACAGGAAAAAGAAGACCCAAGGCTTGGTGACGATGGGACAATGGTCGGTTAATGGGCTAGAAACTCTTGATGGAGCGGGGTAGGGAGGGTTCGTATTTAAAGGGGAAAGAAGGACTTCGGCATGCCTGTCCTCCTGCCTGTCCAGCAGGCGGGTGACCGTCGATCGAAACTCTGACGACGAGAGCTGGAACCGTACGATGGAGCTCGGCTGCGACAAGGGTAGCTTGGGTGGACGGTCCGGGTGACGCCGCTGGAGGGGGGCGAAGCTTAATGGACACCACCACCTTATGCTAGCACAAACGCGAGGAAGGAGCTGGGAGGACATGGACAGCGGTGGGGGGAGGGGGATGGCAAGCAAAAGCAAAGCAGACACCCAGCCAATGGCCTCGGTCCGGTCTGGAACGGCTGTGTTCCCATTTGGTGTACTGTAGCACACGCTTCCATGCTGCTTTTTTTTCCTGTACCAGCCAACAACCTGAGCCTGCATTTGCAGGCAAGGCCGTGCGAGGTCTGATGTGCCAGGCCTAAAAGGGGGTGTCTACCCCGCATATGGTGGTTGTGTCCAAGGGACGGGATGGGAGGGAATGGTTGGTAATGGCCAGCCAGGACGTACAAGCCCTGCCGACCAAGCTTGGGCGGCGCCGAAGCTGGAGGGGGGCGATGATGACGGGCTCCAAGGCAAGACGCCATCGGGGCTCGAATCGTGGCGGGTAAGAAGGGAGAGCTCGATTTCGTGCTTGGACAGATTTGGACCGGCTTCCCCGTCGCGTCTTGCCGGCGGCCACCGAATGTAATTGTTTCATATCAGCCCTGTTCTCATTCCTGCACAGCTACCTCAACCAGACGTCATAGCTCTTCCTAGTCAAGCGGAATGCAGTAAAGAAAGGCCCGGAGTGGGGCCGTGGTTTTTTGTCCGGGAAAGGGCCCGATCGGCGCCGGCGCTTGGCGTCCCGACATGTTCTGTCCCAGGGCAAGCCCCCGGAATTCCAACAGAATACAAAGGACCGCCGACAGGGAGAGAGGGAGCCCGGGACGCAATTAAACAGGCTCGAGGGGGGCTGTCACAGCCGTGTGGACTAGACTGGCTCTCCTGGCTGACTCCCCTAGCGCTGGGACGAGATAGATGCCTTCTCCCAACACCCGCCGAGAGACAGGCCGAGGTTTGCGTTGTGGATATGGACGAGGCGCTGCTGTGGCATTTGGTCAGGGGCTTGGTGCCTGGCGATCGCTCTTGTGCTGTCTTGTTCTCCTGAAGCCATCGTGAGAGAGGTGCCGGCGTTGGCCTTGTTGTTTTTGTATAAAATGGCCCTCGACGTCTCCTTCCTGGCCGTCGCAATTATCATACCTGCATCGCAGCCTTCAAAGCCTTGCCTGACTACTACCTGCCTGCCTGCCTGCCTATCCTGGTCCATCATCTCTGCGACTCTCGCTTGCGCCCAACTCTCTCACCACAAACCCCCACCCCCGCCAGCAACATGAAGGCCTCAACCGTCCTCGGCTTCGTCGCCGCTTTCGGCACCGCCCTGGCCGCGCCCTCCGGCATGGCCAAGCGCGAGCCCTTGGTCGACGTGGGCACCATCCCCGTCCTCCAGCCGCTGCTCGGCCTCGTCGCCGACATCCAGATCTCCGTGGTCATCATCAGTAAGAACACCCTCCCCCACCCCCAGCCGGCACACGCTCTCTAAACCCCTTTTCTAACCATAATTACCTATATTTCCCTTGCTCCAGCCACCGAGGTCGCCAACCTAGGCAACATCGGATCCACGCTGGACGGCGCCGCCGAGCAGGTCGATGCCGCCGTGCCCAAGATCAAGACGCAGCTGGACCTGATCGACTCGTCGCTCAAGAAGTTGCCCGAGATCAAAGCCAGCGGCTCCGTCGGCGTCGAAGGAGCCGCCGTGGCCCTCGACGTCTACGCGCAGCTGTTCGAGTCCATCTCTACTGCTATGGGTGCCGTCAGTGGCCTCGATGGTGAGTAGAACGCTTTCTTCTCGCTGCCAGAACAAGAAACTATTTT